CATAGTTTTGAGAACTTTTACTAAACAATCATACCATTGTTTACCAGATTGTTTCAGCCCGTATAAACTTTTATTTAATAACCAAGTCTCATTTTTGTTTGTGTATTGACTGTGGGGTGCTCATACATATATTTCCTTATCTAACTTTGCGTGTAGGTACGCAGTCTGTATGTCGTATTGAAATACATCAAGGTTGAGTGCTGATGCTATAACCAGAGCTGTTTTGACACTCTGTTCTTACTGTGGGGGAGTATGTGTCTGTATAATCCTCGGGATATTTCTGTGCATAACCTTGTGCAACTAATCTAGCTTTGTATAGAATATTGCCTCCTTCTAAATTCTTAATTTTATATATCCACCTAGTGCCAATGATAGTTTTGTCCTTTGGTGCAACTGTAGGGGTGAACACATTTAGCCCTCGTAAACTATCCATCTCTTTAGTCATGGCTGCTTCCCATTTTATCTTTTCTTCAGGAGGAAGCTTTAACACTTCCTCATATGTGTTAGGTATTGGTAATTCTCCATCCATATACATTACATAATCTTTGTATTTATTTGGCATTTGATTTCTGCTACTTCTGGTTGTTTTTTCTGGTTTACTATCATTGTCATGTAAATATCTTGCTTCTTTTTTAGTTAATGAATCTGTCTTTATTTTATGTTGACTGTTTGTCCATGTTTTAATTTTATTTTTATGTGTATTGTTACTGTGCTCTTCTCTAATTCTTTTTTCTTGAAGTTTGGTATCTGTATTGGTGTTTGGGAATATTTCATTAAGATGTATTTTAGACCAGTTGGCCTGTTCATGGAACACAGCTGTTCTGGAGACTATGAATTTATTATTATTATCGATAAATCTGTATCCTTTTGTACCTGTCTCGTATCCCATGAATCTAAGTCTCCTGGATACGTTCTCACCTTTGCGCCTTAGTTGTTTAGGTATGTGTACGTCTGCAGTGACTCCAAATATGTGCATGTGTGCTAATTTTGGTTTCCTATTATACATCACTTCGTATGGTGTCTTATTTACAATGCTGGACCAAGTTCTATTTTGTGTGTAATTAGAGTATTGTAGGGCTTCTGACCAGAATTGTTTACCTAAGCCAGCATCTTCTAGAGTGCATCTAATCATGGTTTGTAATGTTGAGTTCTTTCTCTCTACCACTCCGTTCTGGAATGCAGAAAATGGACTAGATGTGTAATGTAACATCCCTCTGTCTTTTAGCCATTGGGAGAATTCCTTAGACATGAATTCACATCCCCTATCTGTCATGATTTGTTTTATTTTAATATTGTGTTGTGTTTCTATACGTTTGTAAAACTCTTTAAATTTCTGAAAAGTTTCATCCTTATGTTTTAATGTGTAAACAAATCCATAATGACTATAATCATCCACAATTGTTAGAAAATAACGTTTTTTATAAGTAATTGATGGTGTTAGTGGACCAACTAGGTCCATATGTACCAAATCAAAAATTTTGTTGGTTGATCTCGTTGACTTTCTAGGTCTGGGACTAGTTTTGAGCTTTGTAGATTTGCATACTGAACATTCCAAATAGTTTTCACAATTTTTTATTTTAACTCCTTCTGCATGTTCAGTCATCTTTTGTACTACAGGAAAACTGGCATGTCCTAATTTCCTGTGTAAGACATGAGCACACTCATCATGAATTGGTTTACCTATCTTAGGTTTTTTTTCATTGTGTGTATCTTTGTGATTATGGGTTACCTCACGTTCTTCATTGTCACTGTTACTATTCTCTCCATTATCTATTTCATTATCATTTTCCATATTTGAATCAATGTTGTGTAACCATTCTTCCTTTGTCATTAAGTAAGGTAGACCTCCTTTGGTTATTACTGTACCTATGTTTATTTTGTTTTTTTCCAATGTTGCTTTTCCTTTTGAGAATACAATGTTAATGTCAGAATCTCTGCTTAGTTTTATGGCACTAAGTATATTATGAGGAATTTCAGGTATTAGTAATACCCCCTCTATTTTTCCTAAACCAGGTAAGATTACATTCCCTCTACCTATAACTTGAACTTTTTCTTGGTTAGCCACTTTGATTACAAATTTATCTTCTACAAATGAAGATAATATGTTTTTATTATTAGTAGTGTGATTAGTTGCTCCAGAATCAATAAGCCAATTATTGTTCTCTGGTTGTGGTGTGTTAATGTTGTCATGTTTTTTTAGCCCATTCAGTGAGCCAGATTTTCTGTCCTTTGAGTTATTTCTGCCCCCTCTATGTTTTCTATAGTTGGGTGGACTTCTATATCTAAGTCTATCATTGGAAGACTGTCTGTTGTTGTACCTATTTCTATATTCTGACTTATGTCTATCTTTTTGAATTTTGGGACAATCCCTCCTATTATGTTCCTTAGATCCACAATTGTGGCACCTAAATGTTTCATGATATCTTTCTTGAAATGCTACCCTTTTAAATTGTTTGTGTTCTATTTGGTTGTTATAACGACTTCTCCTTGAATTGTCTTCAGCTATTAATTTATTGGATAGGCTTTCTATGGATAAGTATCCTAGATTGATTGTGTCTAAGTGTGACATATAATTATCCCATGATGGGTCAAGTGAATTGATGATAACACTTTTCATCGTTTGATCTGAAATCACCTCCCCCCTTAAATGCAGTTCTGCTCTAATCTTGTTTAAAGATATTAAATGTTCACTTATGGTAACCCCTGGCTTTATCCTAGAAGAGAAGAAATCTTTAGACATTCTTGTGGTAGTGGCTACGCTTTCACTGTGAAACAAATTAAACATGCATTGAATAATTTCTGAGACAGTCAGATTTTGCTTAATACTGTGATACATGGCAGGGGACACACTGGAAATTAATAGGAAAAATGCTTTATGATGTAAGCAATCTAACTTTAGAGTCCAAGGTCTTTTTGGGGGGTTGGTAATAAAAAACATTAAGTTTTCTTTCATAAAGTCAACCTGGAGCTGCTGATACCATTCTTGCAAATTAATGCCATCTATTCTCAGCTTTGGGAAGTCACTGGGTAAATTCCCAACATTGTTGGGTCCATTACTTACAACCAGGGGTAGTCCGTGGTCTTGCAAATGTCGAAAATTGCAAAACGGCGTGGGAATGCTCGCAACGAGTCTGCATGGTTCTCTCTGCATCTCATGACTTCCTGGGTTGTCTGCGTAGTCACGCGCATGCGCGTTGCTCATTTCGTTCCTGGAGTCATCGTGAGAGGTTCTCGCTGCTGCAGCTCCCTCGCTTCGTTCTTCTTCCGATGAATCAGTCTCCGGCTCGATCTTGGGAGTCGTGATGGCGGGCGCTCGTCTTCTTTTGCTGAAGGCGCTGGTTCTTGGATCAGTCTGTGGTGTGGGGTGATATCTGCAGGGCTCTCTGGGTTCAGGTGTCGGTGCTTTCGCCGTCTGGATAGGAGCGGGTAGATTTTGAGGCGTTGGTTCGCTTGCTTGCCTTTTGGTTGATTTTTTAGTAATCTTCAGTTTCGGCCCAAATGCAGCAAAAAGCGTTTTCATTGCTGATTTTATTTGTGTGTCTATCGAATCTTCTTCATTCTCTGTTTCTGATTCTTCTGAGGTATATACTTTTTCTTTTTCATTTTTCGTATCGAGTAAGGCTTCTCGCGCCAGACATTTTGAATCCTGCTTTCTGATTGACTCAGCTTCACTCATCTTGGGAGTCCGTTGAAACCAAGATGGCTGCCATTCGAAATTTTGCGCGGGATTGTTGGTTTTCTTCTTTGTTGCATTTTTATCTGTAGGCATATCACTTACTATTTTTGAGTCTTTTGGTTTTTCAGTAGCGATGTGCTTCTCTCTCGCTGCTCCGTTGTTTTTTAGTATATCTTGGAGGTCCGCGACAAGACTTTCATCGCTCTTTTGGCTCTTTAGGAGTTTTAGTATCTCTGACCTGAGTTCGTTGTATTCTATTTCGTTTTCTTCTTGGTCATCATCTTTATTTATTATTTCTTCGTCTTCTGTGGTGTATTCTTCAGATTCTCTCGAAATTGCATTTGTGGACTCATCTATTATTTCTTGATCCGCTTCCATTTCTTTGCTGTATGCCCTGGTGTTGGGCCTATCTCTTTTAGACACGTTTAAGTTTTTATTGAGTCAATTCAACCATCCTCTGCTACCAGATTGTTGCGATATTTTCAGGATCAGACTCAATAAATTGTTCAAGAATTAAGAGTTCAAATATATCTCTCTTTATTTACATAAGGCATTCTATATTCACTGAATATTCACAGATAGAAGCACAGAATGAATGTATGCAGCTCCTTATATATACAATGGGTGGAGCTAATTATGGGAGTGGTAAAGTATGAATACATTAAGAAGTGAAGAATAAGTTAACCCCTGACAGACTGTTCATATATTATTTACATAATGGAGAATAAGGCATTTACTTTTGACAGGGAGTTTCAAAACTTCCCTTCCCCGAAGTTGTCTTGGGTCATTCCTAAGTGTTCCCATTGACATCTAGGGAGCAGCACTGCCAGTGAGCCAGCTTAGGCAGCAAAATCAGCAGATCATTGGGAGGAGAGAAATATTTCCTTGCCATTCAGCAGCCATCTTGGTGAGGAGTCCAAAAATTTACTTAATTATTTAATTAATTAATTGATGTTCGCTTGTCTCTAAATTATTTTCCAATATGTTGTCTCTGTGAATGTATTTGTGTGTGACAAACAACACTGTAGAAAAAATGTAATTACATGTAGTTTAACATAATTGAACAAGGTTCAAAATTTTCAGTTAAGTTTATCTGCCTTGGTTAGGTATTCCTACTGAATCGTGGAACTAAAAGGGAATCATTCCCATGCAGATTCAGTTCCAGCTGAAGAGTAAGAGTTATTACAGCAGCCCAACACACTTATTCCCCAAAGTTGCACCTCCATAGACAATGGTTTAAATAAAGGAAGGATTTACTTTATCTTTGTTTCACATATAAACAAAGAGATATTTGTTTTATTCAACTGCATCCTCTTTTTCCAAGTATCCACAGGTACATCTAAACTGATGATTCTCACAAAAGATTTCCAGAATGAAAAACCAGATTTTCCTACTACCCCTTATCCTACAGAAGAAAGATCAGCAGCATTAACAGTGGCAGCATTAAGTAAGTAAACATGGTGGCATAAGTTTTGTTTCGTTTAGAAATATTAATGGAAATAGTTTAATATTATTGACATTGATTTGATTTATTTGATTCTTCCCCTGTAAAGCTTTCACCTATCAGTTTTTGTCCTATTTTCAGGTACACAAATAAATCTTACGTGAGGAGGTTTCTATTAAACCATTAGATCTCATGAGGTATAAGGCAATAAAACCTTAACACTGATTCCTGGGACAAATTACAATTTAATGTAGATCTCCAGTTTCATTTAGCTCACACTGTTAAGTTCTGTACCCATCTCTATTATTGCTTAGTTTTGAGCATGAGAACTCAGAAGGTGAGCATGTTAAAACTGAATTCTCTCCCCTCCCTTTTGAGCAATCATAATAATGTTTGTTAGGGCAGAATTGTTGAGCAGGTCACCTTTGGTTATGTTCCTCTTGGGGGAGGCAGTATTGGTAACCATTGACATTGTTAGTATCTAATGATATACAATAGAAAAGTTATTATGGATGTTTTCCATTCCCACTTAGGTATCATCATCTTCATTGTTATTTTGGTGGTGACTGTAATAATCCTTGTCAGCATGGTCAGCATAAAATTCAATTGCCATCACTGCAAAAAGGTAACAGGTATGTAGTAGTGATCAATGCTGTAGCAGTATCATCCATGTTAGTAGGTCATATTTGATTGCTAATTTCATTTTAACTAGTTAAATTCATATTAAAATTATTGACAACACCCTTGTTTTTCTAATTGCTTCCTTGACTCTATAGATACTCATCTTAGTATTTGTTTTATGTTTCTTCCTTCCTATTATTTCTGGTATCAAATCAGTTAAAAGTAGAATGGAAAATTCTAATATGCTCTGTTTCTGATTCAAAATCCTTCATGAAAATCTGCCTCCAATATGTATTTGAGAGCACTGTTATATACTATAACAGAATTTTGAAAAATTGATACTTGCTTTTGTAAATATTCCCTTTTGGTTGAAGGGAAAGGAGGAGGAATCTTGGCTTCAGTGACTGACAGTGTGTCCTCAAATCAGAGTGATCATTGATATCCACATTTTGTTTAATCAGAGTGTCTTGGGGGCAAAATAAAAAGCAAGATACAGAATACTTCATTCAGCTATTTTATTTCATTAACTTTCTCTGCGTCCATGGTCTCTTAGGCATTCAATCACAGTTGATTTCTTGACAGAGTCATCAAAGAGAGCTGTGAACCTCTGTGGAAAATTTCAAGACTAGTACAGTGCTAGTGCCATTATGACTGTATGACTGTAACCTTGTTGCTGGTATCCCTACGATTTATATTAACTGTTTCCTAATATGATTTGATTGCTTATTTGTTCCCTATGGCTATCATTAAGTGTTGTACCTTATGATTCTTCTTCTTCTTCTTCTTCTTCTTCTTCTTCTTCTTCTTCTTCTTATTATTATTATTATTATTATTATTATTATTATTATTATTCAAATTTCTATACCGCCCTTCTCCTTTCAGACTCAGGGCGGTGAACAGCCAAAATAAAACATTTATACATAAAGTATGATTAAAAATATATTTAAAATAATTAAATTTGGCCCATAGTTTAAAATTTATCAATTTAAAATCCGTATCAAAATTTAAAATCAACCATAAAATCAAGAGAGACCGGCTAACTGAAAGAGATGAGTTTTTAGGGCCCGATGAAAAGTCCGGAGGTCGGAGATCACTCGTATCTCTGGGGGTAGATTGTTCCAAAGGGTAGGTGCCACCACAGAGAAGGCTCTCCTCCTGGGGGTCGCCAGCCGGCATTGTCTAGCCAACGGCACCCTGAGGAGGCCCTCTCTGTGGGAGCGAACTGGCCAGTGGGAGGCTATTGGTGGCAGAAGGCGGTCCCGTAAGTACCCTGGCCCTAAGCCATGGAGCGCTTTAAAGGTGATCACCAACACCTTGAAGCGCACCCGGAAGTCCACCGGAAGCCAATGCAGCTCGCGCAGGAGAGGAGTCACATGGGAGCGCCCCGTCGCTCCCATAATCCCCTGCGCAGCCGCATTCTGCACCAGCTGGAGCCTCCGGGTGTACCCCAAGGGGAGCCCCATGTAGAGAGCGTTACAATAGTCCAGACGAGAGGTGACGAGTGCTTGAGTGACTGTGCGTAGGGAGTCCCGATCCAGAAAGGGGCGCAACTGGCGTATCAGGCGAACCTGATAAAAAGCCCCCCTGGCCACAGCCGTCATATGCCCTTCTAAAAACAGCCGTGCGTCCAGGAGGACGCCCAAGTTGCGGGCCCCTTCCGTGGGGGCCAGTGATTCACCCCCAATAACCAGCGATGGCGTCAGCTGGCTATACCGGGACGCCGGCAGCCACAGCCACTCGGTCTTGGAAGGGTTGAATCGAAGCCTGTTTCTCCCCATCCAGACCCGCACGGCCTCCAGGCACTGGGACATCACTTCCAAGGCATCGTTGGGATGGTCTGGGGTGGAGATGTACAGCTGAGTATCATCAGCGTACTGATGGAACTCCACCCCAAAACCACGGATGATCTCACCCAGTGGCTTCACATAAATGTTGAACAGGAGGGGCGAGAGGACCGACCCTTGTGGCACCCCACAAACAAGGCGCCTCGGGGTCGACCGCTGCCCCCCTGTCAACACGGATTGCGACCGGTCGGAGAGATAGGAGGAGAACCATTGCAAAACGGTGCCCCCCACTCCCAGTCCCTCCAGCCGGCACAACATGATACCATGGTCGATGGTATCAAAAGCCGCTGAGAGGTCTAACAGGACCAGGATAGACGAGTAACCCCTATATGACCAATATATCTTTTCTTTTATGTACACTGAGAGCGTATGCACCAAGACAAATTCCTTGTGTGTCCAATCACACTTGGCCAATAAAGAATTCTATTCTATTCTATTCTATTCTATTCTATTCTATTCTATTCTATTCTATTCTATTCTATTATTCTATTCTATTCTATTCTATTCTATTCTATTCTACTCTATTCTATTCTATTCTATTCTATTCTATTCTGCTTAATGCCTTGCATATAGACTATTGTAATATACTGTAGGTTGAGCTGCTCTTGAAGATCACTTGAAAGCTGCAGCTGATCCAAAAGCCAAAGATGCAGGCAATTATGGGCACATTTTAGTATGCCCATGTAATACTTCTGCTGATCACTAGTAAGCTTCAAGGTGCAATTCAAGATTTTGGTTGTGACCCATAAAATTATTTATAGCAGGGGTCCTCAACCCCCAGGCCATGGACTGGTACTGGTACATGGCCTGTTAGGAACTGGGCCATGCAAGTGAGTGAAGCTTCATCTGTGCATGTGTGGGATTGAGGTAGTGCACAAAACCATTTCCCCCTCCCCCACCACCACTAGTGCATGAAAAAATTATTTTCCCGGAAACCAGTCCATGGTACAAAAAAGGTTGGGGGCCTCTGCTTTATAGCATAGGGCCTGACTAACTGAGGGATCATCCATTTTGCCCATGGGTGATCATTGTTTCTTTGCCCATTGTTTCTGACCAACAAGTAATATTTGATACTGCCTACAATCCAGGTCCCATCTTTAAAATTCTATCATTTGATGGGACATAGACAGCATGCCTCTTCAACATAATATTTATCCGCAGGAATAGTATCCCCCTGGAAGGTTCAAGTTGCCCTGACCATGCCATTCTTTAAACAGACCTTTTATATATGAATGGTATCCTTATCAAAACTTTCCTCACTAGGGAATTGCCTAGTGGATATTTGTGTATCCATCTCTTCCACTGAGATTTTTTTTACACTATAACTCCATCAGCATTTTGCATATAATGGGTTGGGCTTTCCTTTGAAAATCTGAAGCCCATCCAATCTTTGAGTTACACTGGATCTGGACCTGGCAGCTTCCATTCCCTTTTAGCTAGTGCCTGCACAGTCTAGGTCAGTTGAAAAGGATGTGGGCAAGTGGGGATGGGTGTGTGAGAAAACAAATGTACATTGTAATCAATAACATTTTACTGTAACTTTAAATTAGGAAACTTATGTGGCTCAGTGCTCATATGAAAGTGATTTAATGTGTTCCTACTTATTTCCCACCTGTATGTATGCTTTAGCCATATTTATCAGGAAAATGCAGGTAGGAAGCAAGACTGCTGTGAGATCTCCACAGCTTGACAGGCAAGCTGTGTGTGAGTGAATAATCCAAAACTGTGCATGTGTTTGTGCAGTAGACTCTTTCCTGGCCCCTCATAACATAATAGATGGGGAATCTATTTATCATCCAGTTCCAAACACTTATTGGTACTTGTGAACATTGCCTGAATTTGATGAAGAGCTGGATTAGAAAGAATAAATTGAGACAATACAATCCAGAAAAGATGGAGGAGCTGTTGTTAAACAGAAGTGTTTATTTGTACATATCTTTAATTTCTAATATAAAATGGTAACATATTTTTCTTTTCTTGTCAGATAAACAAAAACTTCAACAATCTATAGTATCATACAGGTACATCTCTTAATAATGTCTTCTTTCTGATTAAAAGACAATTCTTTATTATGATGTTAACTCGGATAAATTGTATTGTCATTTTTTCCCCTAAATTCAGTTCTGTCCCACCCTGAATAATGCAGTGTTTCTAATACTTACTTTACTTTAATGATTAGCCCTTGGGCCATATCAAAGTGCAGAGTTCCAGACACAAATTATTACTAAAATCTGATAAAAACAATTTAAAATGGAATTAGATAAAATATAATTTAAAATGAAATTGGAATAAAATGTGATTTAAAATGAAATTGGAATAAAATACAGTTTAAAATGATAGCTTTGACAAGCCTCACCAATCAAACCACAAGGTGCAAACACATATTGCCAATAAAATCTTATACAAACAATTTAAAATAAGAGTAGGGTAAAATACAATAGTTATAGGATAAAATACAATATAATTTAATACATAAATATATAAAATAGAATAAAATGACATAAAATTATATTTCGGTATCACCCTTACAATCTACCCCAATCAGTCCCACGTATGCAGATCTCAACCGAACCATTTTGTTTAAGTACTGTGCTGTATTAAATGTTATTTTCAGGTTCTGGCCGCACAAAAAAATAAGTTGTTTTGATATGGGGATCCCAATGGGTCATTTGTTTGGTATATGGACCAAGGTACCTGTCTCTACCCCCTTATACAAGCAACAGTCAAATAGGATGTGAGCTAGGTCTTCTACCTCTGCCGCTCCGCAAATGCAGAGATGCTCATTGTAGGGTATAGAATGGAATCTCCCATATCTGACGTTTCTAATACAAATTTAATTTTTTCCCCTTGAGATTGGACAATTTTATCTTTTAAACCAATCTATTTATCTTAGCAGTAAATAAATAAAACTATCATGAAACATTTGATATTGGGGATATTTGTTCACTGAGAAAATTATTTTACCTAAAATACAGATTTTGGGATTATTCTCTTACAAAAATGGATTGCTGATATTTTTTTTCCTGAAATTGTTTTCATTGTAACCATTAGTGAGATGTAACCCATTTTCAGACTCAGTATTTGTGTGTGTGTGTGTGTGTGTGTGTGTGTGTGTGTGTGTGTGTGTGTGTGTTCTTCCACCATACCATATTTAGATCTATTCCTTTTTGGTTCTGGAAAGTTATCATGCTGACCAATTGGCAGAATCCTGAACCCATTGGCAATTTTCTTTCCAACATTCTGTTGAAAATAGAAACTGTTGGAATAAAAAGCTTTCTACTATCTTCGATTGATTGTTATGGAACTTTTTATATTCATTACTTCTAGCATTTTACTGGATCTCCTTTTCCTCAAATTATTAGAGAAATAATCATTTTTAATTAGCATCTCAAATGGCCTGATAGGTAGCATTGACCTTTAAGGTTATCATGCCTTGGAGTTTTGATATTTGAAAAGGGTCTAGGACAATTCATCATGGCCGACTCACCCCTGCTGACTCACTGCAGCCATCTGGCGGGACTGGTACTGCTGATTTCAGCAGAGTCACTGGCCCTCGCAGTGGGTGTGCCAGGAAAAAATGGCAGCAGCAGGCCTCCTCTCACAATGCCCTCAGCCTGGATCTATGCACGGACTACCTGGGAGTGCCACACTTGCTCCAAAGCGTGGCCAATGTACTGTAGCGTATGCCTTGGCCAACAAGCCACTGGGAATCTACGCTTCAGCTCAGCCCAGCTTTAAGGACTACTAACTTGAGAAGGTTCAAACCTAAAGCAAGACAATGCCTGCAACAATTAACTTGTCTCTTTCTTGAGTTGTTCCATGGCGAGTTGACTGCGGCGAGCCGGGTTGAGTCAGCTGAGTTGAGATGGCCAGACGTGTCAGCCAGAATGAGTCAACTGGGGTGAATTGTCTCTGCAAAAGAAGATGGGTGCCTGAAGTTGTGTGAGATCATGGCCCCCAGAGGCTTCCAGTCTCCAAGTGAAAAGTGTTTGCATGCTAACGGGATGCTTGAAGCAACGCTGCAAATGCTTTTCTGCGTCAACAATGGAAGTCTTTGGAAGAGGCTGCCCACCACTCCAGAAGTGGTGGGCAGCTCGGTGAGTCAGAGAAGCTGAGCAGGGAGTGCTCGTCTTGTTCTCCCTCTGCTCTCATCGCTCCGCTTTTGGAGCTCGGGAGCAGGCAAAGAGGCTGGAGAGGAGACAGCTCGCTAGATCTTTGCAAGATAAGTGAGTCTTCATAGGCAGACCTAGCATGACAGGATGGGGGGTGGGAAAGCAACTGTGGGGAGCATGTGATATCTCAGTGGGTCAGGGGAAGCCTTGGGTGGTCTTAAGCAGGTGGCCTGTTCCATCACTAGGCTGCCCATGGCCTTCCCCACCGTGAAATGCCTCATGTGCACTTAGCGACCCGCACATTCAATTAGCGAATGTGTGGGCGAAAGCAGGGAGTGTTCGTGGTCAAGTTATGCAATTCACTCCTATGAATCCTCTGGTTATGAATGTAATTGGCAGGCTCCATTGCATTCATAACTCAAGGAGTGTAGCCCTGCATTCATCAACCTTACTTATCATAGGACTTTTTTAATCAAAGAAAATTGTTAGACTGTCCTATAGGACATTGCTGTCCAGACTGCTAGAGGATTTACAAAAAAATCTCCATTAATTGTTTTCAATTTAGAGAGTCCATATAATTTGGTAAACTGTCAATATGGATTTACTCACACCAAATTGAGGAGGGCATTCACACTAGCACATCTTGATGTGATGCCCTGAGCAGATTTGCAGAGCTGATGTACAAGCATTCTTTATTCTGAATCCTTGTGGCTCTTGAGAGGGGCGTCAATTAGCCACGTCCTAATATACTGCCAAAATTTGCCTATTTCTCACTTGTCATGCTGATTCTTCTATTTTTATCCAGGCAGATTTCCTTTTCTCTCTCTCTCTCTACTGTCCAATATAGAACATAAAATAACACTTCAGTTTGTGAAAATTTGCTATTTTGTTTATCTGTTTGGCAGTTAGAGAATGTTATCTATATCTTGATTTTATTTTGTGCTGAATTGTATTATTTTTGGTTGTTCATTTATTGTAATAAAAAATTAGAAAATAGTTGGCAGTTCAACAGAAACAACTGCTTTTCAGTTGAGGATTGTCCATCCCCCCCCCCAATCTATTCTTAAACCAAGGCCAAAAGCAGATTTAGGGTTCAGAAGTATTGTAAGGGACATTCCTCTGGGGTTGCAGGGGAGATACTAGAATTGTACCATGCTTTGGATTCGATTTCAAAAAGGGACTGAGGGGAGCTGTTTGATCTAATGAAAAGATGTGACAATGTTAAAGAGTAGCAGACAGATGCTGTAACTGTACACAATCAATCCAAAGTGCCGCTGCACAATTACACAATTGCTGCACAATTCAAGGAGATAGATCTCTCTCAAATCAGTAGAGAAAAATAAGATTTTGGCCCAAATCTCCTTGACCTGGTCTGAAAGCAGTTTGTTTCTGGAGCCAGAATATTTTTGTTCCAGGCATTCTAATTATTTCTTATTTACATGTGTAGTCATTTTTTCCCAAACTATGCTGAAAAGCCTACTTAAAAAAAACATAAGTGAAAGTAGTTAATCCTGCAGGAAGTAAAATATGCATGTATGTACATTATATGCAAAACAGTCTTGTCTCCTGGCAACTACATGGATAAATTCATGCAGTTTTCTTAGCAACATTTTTCAGAAGTAGTTTGTCCTAGCTTTCTTCCTAGGTCTGGCAGAGTAACTGGTCAAAAATCCCCCAGCTTGGTACATATCCAAGGCAGGATTAGAACTCACAATCTCATGGTTTCTACTCTGGTCCCTTTAACCACCATGTAATTCATAATCTGCCCCATCATATTTTTTGTTTTAAAACTAAATCATTTTTTTAAATTTTGGGTCAAGCTTCTTGAGCCAAACACTGTCAACATTTCAGAAAGACAGAAGACCTATTTTCATTACTTTGTGATATTAATATAGTACCTATGCTTAATATAGTATCTATGCTATATGAGTTTGTTCTTTTTAAATACTATCATATTGTGGCAGAATGATATTAAAACAAAAGGATGTATATAATTCCTAGTTTATTGGGATGGTTCCTTCTTAGAATATATATTTTACATATTTTCTCATGAAAAACAGAGAAGTAATATCTGCATTTTTGTTTCTTTGGTAGCTGTTCGGATGCTGATACTACAGTTGGCAATAAGAATGTTTTGTTGGTCTCCATGAAGACTTAAATACGACCAGCAGCAAAAGTAAGAGGATGGGGACATGGATCCAAATATTGTTCAAGTGTTCCTCTTTTGTTCAAGTATTCAGAGAAATGTTAGACTGGCAAAATTTAATGCAGCATAAATATCTGAGGAATATTTAGTGTTCTCAGTTAATAATTACTTAGACCAGAGGTCTACTAATTTTGCCTTTGTTTTGTTTTTCTAGATCTTGTGAAGGTAATTACTCATGAAGAATAGGAGGAACTAAACACTAAACATTTCATTTTTATTGTATACGTTCATGCAGAGAGAATTCAGCAAAGCATTAAGAAGTTACCATTTGGAATATAACTATCTGAATTGCATTATAATCAGGTTTCATACAGTATTTGAATGCAAAAAGGTAGTTTGGATCTGGGGGGGCCCACAAATATAACTTGTATTTGTAATTGTTTAAATAGACAGACCTTCCTATAGAACAGGGCTGTCAAACTCCCAGCCTGCGGGCCGGATGCGTCATGCGTTGGCCATGCCAATGCCCAGTTTAGCAAAGGGGAAAAAAGTCCTGATACGTCATGTGACACCACTGTGATGACCTGAGTTTTGACACCCCTGCAATAGGATTACATGTTGGTTCACTGCAGCTGCTAGCAATCTGGAAAAGATGCATATGGTTTTAAAACTTGCTGCAGTCACCCTCCTGCACGCTCCAAAGGGCCTCTTCATCTTTCTTTAGGAGCATTGCACAGGGCCTCATAATCAGATAAGTGATCCAATAACCTAGTATCATATACTCAAGAGCATTTCAGGGCCTTAAGCAGACTCCTAATAATTGCTATCTGAATCTATAGAGGTGTACATGGGACTTCTGTTGCGTCTTACTGTTGGGCTATTATTATTTGTTGCTATACCATCTTTTGAACACAGAAACTGAGGGTTGGATATAGAAAACAGCAGTATAGTAAGGATTGTGGAAGCAGAGGCTTCTGTCCCTTCCCCAAATACTCTTCCAGCCCCCTCAAAAGTTCCCACCTATTTCAAGGGGGCATGAAAGAGTAGGAGGACATTTCCTTTTGCTCTATCATAAGCAATTTCTTTAGACTGAACTATTTCAATTTAGTTTCCTGAAAACATGTAGCATGTAGATGTATTTCCATTTACCTCTGAGATGAAAATTTTAATGAGTTCCATTGTTTTATTTTACATTCCAGTTATTGCCATAGATATTTTTCTGTTTGATTTTGAAAGAATATTTTCAGAAGATAGGGATGGAGTTTGCCTGGTCTTTTGGTATGAGCGTCTTTTCTCTTACATGCTTATATCAGAAACTTTGGCCTTGAAATCTTGAAAGTTCAAAAGCATCAATATTCATCCTAATCTGCTTCTTCAAAGTCAAAATCACATGAAGTATCATTGCTTACACTATTCTGATCTTTATAGATATAGTCACATCAGAATTTCTGGATATTTTTTCCAAGGCCTTTACAGTTCTACCAAATGCTAGTCTGCAAAGTATTTATTGACTGCTTGTTTATTTATTGTTGGTGGATTGGTCCTAAATGACAGAAGGTTTTTACCACATTTGATATCTTCACTATTAATTTTTTGTTATACATATCATTAGTTTGTGGTGGAGAAAATAAATCTAGCAAACAAAATGGAGATTGCTGCACCCTTTTTTCTTCCTGTCTTTTGTTCATGACTAGGGTCCAACCCAACTCCCCTCTTTGCCTAATCCTATAAGACCCAAATTGACCCCCTGCCCCAAACAAAGCCCCTGCAATCCCACTAATGCAAAGAATAGAAGCCTCCGTCCAGCTCATGATATAACCTGTTTTTGTTTTTTGACTGTTTTTTTTGCTGCATCAAAAATTTAGATGCCCAAGGACATATATTTTGCCTTATTGGCCTTTTAAAGTTTTAAAAAATCTTTATGTTGAAGAAGATATTTAAAGGACTGATACATGACTTATTAAGAGTTACTTTAAGAAATGGCAATATTTATATATACCGTGTTTCAGGAGTGAAATGTAAAAATGTTTGCTACCGGTTCTGTGGGTGTGGCTTGATGGGCATAGCTTGGTCATGTGATCAGATGGGTGTAGCCAACTTGACGTCTCTCACTGTTAGAGCCAGGAGCTGCACATTTTGAAGCACATTCTGCCTTTCTGAAGCCCCCAACGCTTTGAGTTTCCCTCCAGCACCCAAGCGAACATCGGAGCCTTCTCTTGCAGAAGCAGAATCCAGACACAGAAATGGAAAAACGAAGGGGGGAATGGGGAGGAAAATGTGTAATTAGCAGAATCCAGGTAGAGAAATGGAAAAACGGGGGAGGGGGGGGAAATGGGGAGGAGAAGGTGTAAGACGACGTTTCCTTAGATTGCTGACGCTCCCAACAATGAGTTTGGCGGCGATCTAAGGAAATGTCTTCCAGCTCTTCAAAATCGACTTTAAGCCGGCAGCAAAAGTAGTGGTGGTGGAGGGCAACAGGGGCGTGTATGCGTGTGTTTGTGTGATCCTCCTTCCACAAGGACTTGGAGGCAGACACTGCCCCTCTCAGGAAAAGAGGCGGTGGCAAAGCCCTGGCTGTCACCTGGGAGAGGAGGATCGCGGAAGGATGGGGGGGACACACACACTCCCTGGTGCCCCCGCTGCCGCTACTTTTGCTGTCGGCTTCTCGGCGCTCTTAAAGTCAATCTTGAAGAGTTGGAAGATGTTTTCCTTAGATTGCTGACTCTCCGAACAATGAGTTTGGCAGTGTGGAAGGCAGGCACGCTGGGAAGGGAGTAAGCTGCTAGCTCCCTTTGCTTCAGCCCTGCCATGCTTGCCTGCCTTTCCAAGCTGGCCATGGGAAGGCCACATGGAAGGCAGGGAAGCGTGGCAGGGCTGCAGGCTGTGGTCCGGTTCGGGGATGTGGCCAGCCAGTAATTGCTATCGGTACAGCGAACCAGCCCCAATCTCTGCTACCAGTCCTCCTGAACTGGTCCAAACTGGTAGCATTTCACCCGCCGTGTTTCCCCGAAAATAAGACCCTGTCTTATATTTTTTTGATACCCTGAAATAAGCGCTTGGCCACGTTTTGACGAAGTCTCATTCGTCATCTTCAGGCTGGTGTTTTCGGCTTCGTGCTTCTAGGAGCAATATGTGATCGCAGCTGTTTCTTCCTTTTAACTGCCTGGGGGTGTGAACTGATTGGGTGGGAGCTTGGCAGTGTTCTGATTGGGTGGAGGTATGTTCTGATTGGTTGGGGGTTTGGCTGTGCTCTGATTGGATGGGGGGTTGGCTGTGCTCTGATTGGATGGGAGTGTGTTCTGTTTAGGTGGGGGCTTGGTTGTGCTCAGGTTAGTCTGAGTTGCAGGGGGATTTGAGCTGGTGAGCTGCGTTGCTTTTGTTGGCTTTGTGTTTGTGGTCGTGCCACATCTTCATGATGGGTGTCAGTTTGCTTCATGTATGGATTGGAGGGGTTTAAAGTGGCTAATGATGCAGCTGTGGTCTGGCTTCTGGTTTGTGGTCGTGCCTCATCAGTGTGGGTTTGCTTTTTGCGTGGATGTGTGGTGGTGACATCCTGTGTGGTTTTCGTGAGTGTGGGTCTGGTGTCCTTCTTTGTGTTAGGGACTCATTTGTCAATGAGGGCGGGTTTCCAAATGGCTGGTAGGCGGGAGGTATCATCTCGTTTATTCATGCTGTGTGGGCGTTTTTCTATCTCGATGGCTTCTCTGATTATTCTGTTGTTAAAGTGTTCAGTTTTGGCGATAGTTCTGGTCTTTTTAAAGTCAATATCATGTCCTGTGGCTTTAAGGTGTTGGACCAGGAAGAAGTTGGTTCCTCTTTTCTGACTGAGTTCTTGTGTTCTTCAATGCGTGCACTTATTCTTCCGTTGGTTTGTCCGATGTATGTGGTGGGGCAGGCGGTGCATGGGATTTCATATACTCCTTGATTTTCTAACTCAATTTTGTCTTTGGGGTTTCTTAGGATGGTGGATATTTTTCAGTTTGTGCAGAATGCTGTCTTGATGTTGTGTTTGTGGAGGATCTTGCTGATTCTGTCTGTGGTGCCTTTTATGTATGGGAGGAGGGCTTTGCCGTTTTCTTGTTCTCTGTCTTGGATTTTAGTGGGGATTTCTTTTTGGATTAGGTTGGTAATCTTATTTCTTTGGAATCCATTGGATGTTAGTACGTTAGTGAGAGTGTGTAGTTCGGTTTTTAGGTGTTGTTCGTCAGCTAAGGGTTTTGTTCTGGAGATGAGTGTCTTGGCTACAGAGTTGATCTGTGCTGGGTGGTGGTGTGAGAGTGCATGCAGATAGCAGTTTGTGTGTGTTTTCTTCTGGTAGATGGTGTTTCCTAGGGAGCCATTGGATTTTTTGTAGACTAAGACATCCAGGAAGGGAAGTTGGTTGTTCGCTTCTGTTTCCATGGTGAACTGTATTTTGGGGTGTAGGCTGTTGAGGTGTGTGAGGAAGTTGTCCAGTTTTTCTTTCCCATGTGGCCAGATTATGAAGGTGTTGTCTACGTATCTGAGCCAGAGTTTGGGTTTGTGATCAGATTTTTCTAGAGCTTGGGTTTCAAAGTGTTCCATGTAGAGGTTAGCAATGACAGGTGAAAGGGGTGATCCCATGGGTGCTCCTTCTATTTGTTTGTATTTTTGTCCGTTATAGATGAAGTATGTGTTGGATAGGCAGTGGTTGGTCAGATCTAGGATGTGCTTGGGGGGGTTATATTTGTTTTGGATAGCTGTCAAGGCTTCTTTGATTGGCACTTGGGTGAAGAGGGATATGACATTGAAGCTCACGAGTAGGTCACTGGGCTGTAAATTTTGTTTCTTTATGATCTCTATGAACTGGAATGAGTTTTTTACGTGTGAGGTGATGGATTCTGCATAGGGCTGTAGTTGTTTGTTGAGAAATTTGGCTAGGTTTTGTAGAGGTGAGCCTACGGATCTGACTATGGGTCTAGGTGGGTTCCTTCTTTGTGTATCTTGGGGAGACCATAGAGCTTAGGGCATCTGGATGATTTCTCTCTGGGAATGATTCTTTGCTGGATCTCTTCGCTGATGGAGGACGCTTTTATTTTGGATCTAGTGGTTTTTTCCAGGTAGGTGGTGGGATCTGTGTTTAGGGATTTGTATTGGAGTCTTGGAGTAGGTTGGTTAATTTGGTTTGGTAGTCCGATGTGTTCATAACCACCGTGGCATTGCCCTTGTCTGCTGGTAGGATTATTATGCTGGTATCTTCTTTCAGGTTAAGTTGTGCTGCCTGTTCCTCTTTGGGTAAGTTGCTTTTGGGTGGCTTGCTGGTGCAGAGGATGTTGGTGATTTCGAGTCTGATTCTGTTAGCATCGTTGGGGTTGATTTTGGTCAGGCTGGTTTCAACTCCACATATAATGGTTTCAGTGGGGATGTGTTTGGGAGCGACTGCAAAATTGAATCCTTTGGAAAGGACTAGAAATCCTAGAAGCACGAAGCCGAAAACACCAGCCTGAAGATGACGAATGAGACTTTGTCGGGCTTTTAATTGAGGTCCTGATTTTATACTTAGTTGATTTGTTTCTGATATTACTGACTCTATTGTTTGTATGTGTGTAACCTTGTATTTTCATTAGGAAAAATAGATTATGGGTTTTTTTAAAATAATTTATTTTGATATAAAGATTTGTAGTTTATCCTTTAGCAGAACTTCAAAGGCAGTAAAAACAAGATAAAATACAGTACTTCAATGAAGTTTTTGAACTGCCTTCATTTTAAAATCCATAGAGATTGAAGAGATTATCAATTTGCTCTATGAATTAATTTCAAATCTTGAAATTTTTGGAACATATTCAATTGGGCAGCATTCAGTTGACATTAATATAATTTATCTGTAATTATTACCTTTCCGGATGAAAATCACTATGTCAAAGATTAGAAATGAAATACAAGTTTTTTATTTATGTACTTGTGTCTTTGTATGATGTTTCTTTACAACACTCCAGACAGTTCATAATTAAAAGGCAGAAATATGATTAAAAATAATAATAAAAACACAGAATGAAACAAAGTAATCAGGAGCTTTGATGGCAGAGAGCTTTCAAGAGCCTTGTTGAACAGTCTTCACTTTCCCAGAATATAACCCAAATAGGGGCCATCCAGATACTGATGAGAGGGAGCTGCTATCAAGAAAGTTGTGAGGTTAAGTGCTCTACCCATTTCATCTCACAAGGGGAAGAACTTCCTAGAACCTATCTGAGTTGCCTAAATAAGGCAGACAGATTCTCCTTGGAGAAGATGCTCCCAAATATTGTAGCTTTTGTAAGCCAACAGGAGCACTTTGAATTCTTCTTGGAAATCTATTCACCAATATATTGCATCCACAAAACAGGTATCCTAATGCTAAATTGATCACCAGCCTAGAGAGAGAATAATGTGATCAGTTTTATATTCTGGTAAAGGGGATTGGCCATGCCCAGTGGTGGGATTCAGCCAGTTCGCACCACTTTGGGAGAATCGGTTATTAACTTTCTGAGAAGTTTGGTGAACTGGTTGTTGGAAGAAATCATTAGGGCAGAGAACCAGTTGTTAAATTATTTGAATCCCACCACTGGCCCATGCCTACTCTGACAGCATTTCATGAGGTTGTTTCTCAAAGGTCTGAACATGTCAATAGCTCAAAATATTGGGATGCTAAATTTTTAACTGCCTCAATTTCTTAAATGTTGTAATGGTTGAGTTTACACCACAATTATGCATAAACCATCATTTTAACATGCTAAGACAAAATCATTAAAAATTGTGCTGTCAGTGTTTGCTCAGAGTAAAGAAAAGTTTGAGGAGAATAAGAATATACATGAGAAAGAGCAAGACTGTTGTTTCAAAGATTGCATTTAACTAAGGATTGCTTAACCATGGGGGACAAAACACAACTGATTATGTTCATACATTATACAAAATAAAAATGAAACAAGCTACACTATAGCTTAGCATAATGTACGTTTTCAAAGGATGTAAAGCACTCTGCAATGCCCTAACAAATTCCACTTTTTACATACTTACATGTGACATGATTCAAAAAATGAAAGGATACATCTTAAGTTGTAACACACCACTTATTTTATCAATATGTCATTGTTGTGTTTAAGAAGAGACACCTATGGTTAGCATACTGTATGAATCCTGTTTAGTTTACATAGGGCAGTAAGTAAGGCCAGTCAGTGCTTATAAACCATGGTTTATGACATGCCGTTTTGCCAAGTCACCATAGCTTCTGTTTCCACACTATAGAACAGTGTTTCTCAACCTTGGAAGCTTGAAGATGGGTGGACTTCAACTCCTAGTCCCCCAGCTGGGGGACCTTCAACTCCCCCAGCTGGCTGGGGGATTCTAGGAGTTGAAGTCCACCCATCTTCAAGCTTCCAAGGTTGAGAAACACTGCTATAGAAAGTCATAATATCGTTAATTTATGGTTTCAAATTATGTCTGAGTTCAGCCATTAGAAATTTATCCTTAAGTCTGACAAAGCTCTTAGATAAGCCTATTAAGGATTGGTCTATTTCAATGGGTTTATCTTAAGCATTTCTTCCTCAACTGTAAGTTGATCCATGCAAATATTCTTGTCAGCTGAATTTAATCAGCAAAAAAGCTTTATTCAAAAAATTGACAAAACGAAAAGTGCTGTCTAGAAATAAATACGTTCGATTTCAGTTCTACTAACTAGACTGCCACTTTCATCGCATTTCAACTCTAGCGACAAAAGAGCTGTAGCATGACCCTCCATTACAGGGTTCAAAGCCCGACTGCGGTCCACCAGCTTGAACCTGACGCCGAGAAGGCCCCGTCCCCCCGCCCTTCCGCGTCAGGATCCGACGACAGAGGCGCCACAGCACACACAGCCCCCTCCGCCCCGCGGAGGCCGGGCGGAAGGAACTGGGCGGAGCCAGGGGATAGGAAACCGCTTGCGCAGTGGCCAGCGAGGGAGACCCGCCTTTTCGTTCCTCCCCTCGGCGGGGCCGGTGCCGGTTTACGTAACGCCTCTTCGGGCGAATTCCGGCTTGGTCCCGCCGCCTGACTTGGGACGGGTCGCCAGAGGCCCCGGCAGGTAAGGGCGACCTTGAGGGAGGCCGCTGCCGTCTCTCTCGGACAGCGCTGCATCGCATCCCTCCCCTTCCCCCCCCCCCCGCCCCGCTGCCTGTCCGGCCTGCTGAGGCCTGTGGCGCTGTAAGGCGTGAACGGACTGGATAGGCAGGCCTATCCTGATTTGGCCTGGCGGCCTTGTCCGCCGAGTGATCGAGAGGCCCGGCTTACTCGGCGCAGGGGCAGCGGGGCGCCCCCTCAGGGAAAGAATGCTAGCGTTCCCTGGGCCTGTCCGCCTCCGCCTGCCTCCCGCAGGAGGGACCGTAAAACGGGCAAGTCCGCGGCGCGGCTTGCCGCTCGGGTCGCGCCGCTTGGGATGGGAGGCTACTACGGCCTTCGTGAAAGATCTTTCGGCCAGCGGCCTTTTGCGAGATCGGTCCTGAAGGCAGGCAGTTACCGAAACAGCTTGGTTTCCTAAATAACCGGCGTGTTTCTTAACAATACCCCTGTGGTTTTGTTCAGATCCGTTTCTTCGTCCTTGGATGGTTCGGCACTGCGGTGCTGAACTGCAAGAGGGTGGAAAAGATCCAAAGACTTTGCTGTGAGAAGCGCTGCTTCTGAGTGGGCACCTTTCTTGGCTGCTGCAGGTTCGCACCTTGTTTGACTGCTGGAGGTTTTGCTGGCTTGGACCCTATGGGTTTGCTGAATAGTATGGTTGCAGAGTGAGGCTCAATAAGTAGCGATTCAGTTTTGTTGGCTTTGATATTTACTGCATTTATTAACTATTTCTGTGCTAAATGTATTCAAGATGGTATAGGCATATAATTTAGGTATTACATAGTGCCAGATGAATGTAGGAACCAAACATTCTTAACTGTTTTTGTTCCAGGTATGTATTGCCAGTAATAGATAGGTGACCTTGGTTGATCTTGAAAAACTTCAGCTGTGTTAGACTGGTTACTATTTGGATGGGAGACCATTAGGAAATCTAAAGTGTAGGGTTTAAGCTGGGAAGTAAAAAAATAAATCCCCAAAGATGGTAATGATAAACTGCTCTTGTATAGTTGCTAGGGTAGATCACTACAGGAATATGAGGAAGCTTTGAATGTTACCTATTAAAGACTGTGGCCTAAGCAAGTGTTGATAACATTGCTTTTCGCATAAAGATATTGCTGACTATCTGAACCAAGCCTAAAGAACATATTACTAGATTTCCTACTCACAACTGCCTATTCATCTGTGGCATATCAATATTTTGATGAGTTACTTGCTAAATTGCAGTTGAAATGCTCATAGTATTACTATACCTGTACTTGAAAGCAATTATTTGTCTGAAAGGTATTACAAATCTTAATATGATGGAAATGTATAATATAAATTCCTAATAAACCAAGTTTAGTATGTGGTTTGAAATCAAAGACTACTCTGAAAAAAAGCTTTTTCTTCAAACTTTCCAATTCCTGAATCTTGGAAGGTTAAAATAGTTTTGATGTTATCCATAAGACATTGAAAGGTAGCATTTGATAAATATTTTAAATATTCAAAGGAGGAGTTTCAACTATTTAAAATGAATTACTCATCCAATTAAGAAATACTTGTGTGGATTGTGTAGGTGGGTTGTAAAACACGGCATCTTCACCCACCCACCCCCGTTGAACCAGGACATATATATGTTGCAATCTTAATTAACAGGTGCTTGTGTAATTTATTCTCAAATTGTATATCAGTAGTTAGTTTTCAGTCCTGAAGATTATTAAGCAAAGTAAAACTCCTTGGTTTCATGCAGACCTAGTCCCTGGAACTACAGTGTTTCTATTCCTTCATTATTCCTTCATTATTATTATGAGCCCTGGTGGCGCAGCAGACTAAAGCACTGTTATTAACATTAGCTGCTTGCAATTACTACAAGTTCAAATCTCACCAGGCTCAAGGTTGACTCAGCCTTCCATCCTTTCTAAGGTAGGTAAAATGAGGACCCGGATTATGGGGGCAATAAGCTGACTTTGTATAAATATACAAAAGTATGAAGGCTATTGCTTAACGCATTGTAAGCCGCCCTGAGTCTCCGGAGAAGGGCGGCATATAAATCAAATAATAATAATAATAATAATAATAATAATAATAATAATAATAATAATAATAATAAAAAATCAACATATAAACATTAGTCTGAATACATGATGAATGCTCATCAGAAAATCTGATCTGGGACTTGTATTGAAATGTACAGTTTGAGCTCCCTCTACCCCCCCTCTTAAAATTCATATTTAAAATATATAATATTCCATGAATCACTGTGATTCTCATAGAATAATGGATTTGCAGTTGCACTGCAGGTTCTGCTTTTTTGTTATGGAAAAGTATTTCTCACAAGTGTCTTTCAGTGAGTTCTCACCATTGATTCTCTGCATCTTTAATAATGCTGCCAATATTTTAATGCCTATTTTTTTATTAGAGTCAAAGTTAATAGGTTCAACATTATTCACTTATCCAGTTCCTATTTTTGCTATGCCAGAGGGTAGCTCCCATAGTAACTACTGTTCATGTTCTTTCTGTTTGGTAGAATTGCTTTTGTCAGTCAATATTATAAATGGTGATTTACAATAGATGAAGGCAGAGGATTTTCATAATAACCCCAGTTTTATTGTATAACAATTTAGGTTCCTCTCAATTTGGTATAGTGGTTAAGGTGCTGAATTAGAAACTAGGCATTTTATGAGTTGTAGTCCTCCCTTATGCATAAAGATGGCTGGGTGACTTTGGGCCTGTCGTTTTCTCTCAGGCCAACACACCTTGCAGGTTTGTTATTATAGGAGGCCAGGTGCTGACTTCAGATGTACAAAATAAAGGTGCAATATAAATAAGGATATTCTACTATCTCAAATAATTCAATGTCGAAAAATGTGTTTACATATTAGTTAGAAGAATGTAATTTTTAAAACTACAAAAACTCAAAAATAATGTGAAAAGTATAATATAGTTTATTTCTAAATTAATACATTTTAATATATTTTAGTTTGCGTATTGTATAAACCTGGTCACTCTTTATATGGTTTATGTTATAGCATAATATATGAGCTGAGTGATTGCTTGTTAGCAGTGATTGGTAGCTTATGTGGGGAAAGGCTAGAGTGAGATAAATCACATTTGTGAATATTTCCATGGTATGAGTGAACTAGGAGAGCTAATAGGAGTTTGGCAACTGAGTTCAAAGGAGACTAACAATTTTTTTCCACTGTCAGTACAAATATTTTTTGTTTAGTGACTTCCTTGGACAATGATCATTTGCAGTTATGATGATGATGAAAAGTAACTTTGCAACCACTGCCTGCATTTATGACCTTCACAATATGCCTCTTTCTCTCTCTCTGTCACACTTTCACCATTTCAATCAGATAGTACATGCTGTCTTGTGCCTTGGTTTTTTTTTTCTTCCCCTGCCTCCCCCCCTCCTCCAGTGAAGAGATTGTTTAAGCAAGCTCTCTTCCAGAGCTGCTTTTCTCTCAAGTATTAAGAACAAGTTAACAAGTTGGGCTCTGTGACCTTAATTAGCTGATTAGCATTCTTACAGTTGCTATCTACGATTGATAAACTCTAATCAGTTTCACACTACAGGTAGTCTTCATCTTATGACCACCATGAAGTCTGGAATTTTGGATGTAAATTGTTGCAGCTGTAAAATCAAGGCATTATGTGACCAGCTTCAATTTTACGACTATTTTTACAATGGCTCTAAAGCAAGACAACGTACTCATTAAGGAAATTGTGTGGTTAAGCAAATCCAGTATCTATAGTAAGTGTTTTTTTGCCATTTTCTGGCAGAAAATAACAAAACATTTTGCAAATCACAATCATTTAATTGTGGGACATTATAACTGGTTATAAATGTGGGCAATTGCCAAAGTGCTTGAATTAGTTTGATGGGAGGGAAGGCAATAGTCATAACTTTGAGGACAGATTGTAAATAGTTTTTTTAAAAGTCCATAATTTTGAATGGTTCTTAAATAATTGGTTGTAAGTCAAGGACTACCTGTAAAGGTTTTTGTTTTCTCCTAAACCTGCTTTAAAAGCAACAGCAGGGTCCTTTTGATATATATTCTCTATTGCGTCCCTGCTTACTCTCTTGTAATCCTTTCCTCTCCAATGGATGTAAATACAGATCTCAATTCTCTTCTTGCTGATTATGCCAGCATCAAGGGGAATATTTTAAAGGATGGGGGAGAAGGAGAAAAGAAGATATAAGATTTCCCCTTTTACCTGGCTTTCTCCTAAATCAAATTCCAGAAATCCTCCTGGCTGTTTGGGATTTATCTAACACTTTAAAATAAAGGAAAGCTGAAGTAAAACATGTTTCCACTCGTGAAATATTTTCAGCAAATGCAAACTTACTCTGGTGATGGGAGAAGTAATCAAAATAGCAAATGTCCAGCTCCTAACCAAGAATGAAGAATTTTCATATCAGCTAGTAGATATGTGACAAAGCTACTGTCTGTAAAAAAAAAAGAAAAGCAAGAAAGGGAGAAAATAATCATTTAGAATTATAACCAAGGGAAAAAATAAAACAGCTATAGCTATGTCATCATAGTCTTAGAGGAAGGAAGTTGAAAAATTCTGAAAAGTCACTCTGTGTTCTCATTGTATTCCTGACCCATGAAAGAAGAATGGAAAGGGAAAGAAGAACATTGTAAGGGTTCCACAAAGTGTGTCATGGATATTTAGTTTTTGGATAAAGCTATTTAAAGAAAGCCCTATTGGCAAGAAATAAGGTGTATTTTGTAAAGGAAAAATATATTTGTCTTAAGAATATTGAGGTTGTTTACAAAAACTTTAAACTTAATCCTGTGGTGGCTGAAGATGAAAACCCTGAAAAAAAGACTTCAGATAAAAACATTGCTCTAATGGGGCATGTAGATTGAAATAAATGAAGGAACAAATAATATTTTTGCAAGTATCCAGGGAGATATGGGTGATAGTTCTGAAACAAAAATTGCAGATTTTTCAGAGAGGTATTAAATTGTAATGATGGGGAAACACAGGGAGATAGACAATCTGACCTTCAGACCAGAGTAGATTCTAGAGCAGACAAAGTGAGCAGAATAAAAATGAGGGTATTTAACATGAATTTGACAGAAACAAGTTTTACCATATTGACAATCTAATTATTAGATCAGGTAACTTAATAGATTTCAGGAATGTTGTAGGCATAATATATCTTGATTCCAGCAAAATATTTCATAAAGGACTATAGGATATTCTAATTAACATACTAGTCTAATTAGCATGAGTTAAGTGAATTCATAAATACTTCAGATTGTTTTCAGAGAGCCCATAATCACACTAATAATATGTATGGATGCCACAGGAGTCAATGTTAGTCCTTCCATTCTATTTATGACTTGAATGAAGAGATGTCTGTGTATGACACAAAATTACATGTAATATGCTAGGTTTCCATTGCTAAGCAAGACAAGTGAGTTTTGCCCCATTTCATGACTTTTCTTGCTACAGTTAAGTGAATCACTGCAGCTGTTAAGTTAGTAACGTGGTTGTTAAGTGAATTTGGCGTCCCCATTGTCTTTGCTTGTCAGATCACAAAAGGTGATCACATGACCCCAGAAAGAGCCTGGTGGCGCAGCAGACTAATAGCCTGTTATTATCATTCAGCTGCCTGCAATTACTGCTAGTTCGAATCTCCCCAGGCTCAAGGTTGACTCAGCCTTCCATCCTTTCTAAGGTAGGTAAAATGAGGATCCAGTTTGTGGGGGCAATAAGCTGACTTTGTATAAATATACAGAAGTATGAAGGCTATTGCTTAACGCATTGTAAGCCTCCCTGAATCTCCGGAGAAGGGCGGCATATAAATCAAATTAAAAAAAAATAATAATACCGGAACCATCATGAATATATGCCATTTGCCAAACATCTGAACTTTGGTCACATGACCGCGGAGATGCTGCAATAGTCATAAGTGAAAAATGATCATGTCACTTTTTTCAGTGTCACTGTAACTTCACTATAACAGTCACTAAATGAATGGTTGTAAACCAGGGACTAATTTTGATAAACGTGTGAGAAAAAGAGTTTACAGTAATAGTTGCAAACTGCATGAGTCAACAGAGCGATGGAACTGTGAAAATGTACAGTTGCAACCTTAGTCTGTACAAATAGAAGTATGGTTATAAAATAATAAAAAGTAATAATTTTACTTTATTCTACACGGCTCAGATCCCATCCCATATGTTTCAGTTAGGAGCTACCCATTCAGTTTGTTCATTCTGTATGGGGATGCCAGTACGTTTTTCATATGAGTGGAAGCAAGACCCTGATGTCCCATTACTATGAAATTGAAATTGTCTTCCTCTAGAGATTCAAGCACTGCCCTGTCCTATAGCAATTTGAAAACTAATTAATTAGAGGGTTTCCACAGCCTTTTAAATTATGAAAATCTAATCCAGTTGCTTATGTCAATGGCAATGTTAATAGATAGGTTATTGCTTTATGGATTTTATATCTCAGGTTTTGTTAATTGGACATTAGACTTATCCCCTTTTGAAATTTTCTTTTAAAAAGTAACCTCTTCTATTTAATTTTAAAATATTGTTGTAACGTAAGTCTAACCATTATTCAATACATTGAAACTTATTTCAACAGACTATCTTTTAAATAACTGTTAAGAGTTTTGTTATTCACAAATTGGCAATATCATACAAAATTAGAAGAAAAAAATTAAGATAGTGTAGTATGAAGTATATAATGCCTAATATATTTTACAAAACTTTACATTTTTCTGTTCTTTTGTTACTATATCTTCTTTTTTTACTGTATGTAAAATGATTGCCTTATTATAACATGTATTATGGAAATATATTACTTGAAAGCATTTTTAAATGTCCAAATTCTATTTTGAAGGAATAGGGGACTGTTAATGCAAAATGTTTTTTTTCTTCCTCATATCCCACTTGTTCTTGGCATCCTTTAAATTATTCTGACATTTTCATTTCCTTTCATCTGGAGATTTTGAGGATGTATGGTGTAGGAGGACAGCACTGGAATGATTTTAAAAAATTACCTGCCAGGTGCCTCTGTTTAGTTCCAATGATGAAAAATGTCATTGTATATTACCCTGTATTACTAAAGAGTAATATAGTTCAGTGATCACTTAAAACACTGGTTCTCAACCTGTGGGTCGGGACCCCTTTGGGGGTCGAACAACCCTTTCACAAGGGTCACCTAAGACCATTGGAAAACACATATTTTCAATGGTTTTAGGAATAATTTTGTGGTTGGGGGTCACCACAAGAGGAGGAACTGTATTAAAGGGTCGCGGCATTAGGAAGCTTGAGACCCACTGACTTAAAACATTAGAGAACGCTGAAATATTGACTCACTAGACCACAATACAAGGCAAGAGATTAAATTTCCATGACATTTGTGTAATGTATAATGATATCACCATGAAAGTTCTGTACATCATCATGATGACATCTTTTTATACTTAATGGAGTATAAAAAGTCTAAAAATAGACATCCCTTTGCCCCAATTAATGTATTAAGAAGAAACTTCACTATACATTAAACTTTCTCTTGTCTGTAGTTAAGCTAAAGTCCTGTAAATGCTTAGTGAACACAAAATCATTAAACTTTGTAAGATACATGAATAGTGTCAGCTGGAAAGTTAACTGTCTTGGGCTGGTATGCTCTGTTGTGAGAAAAATTGGTGCAGTTTATTAGATTCGGTGTCTACAAATCTTTGCTTCTAAGATAGGACTTTCATTTTTGGAAAGCTATTACAAACTGAAAGAATAGCACAATACAGTACTGTTTGGGGAATATTGAAACAGCTAATTTATGTTGCAAGTGCAGCAAAAGTGTATGTGGGTATCAAGCTTTTTGGAGTGCTCTTTTGCCCAGAGTATCTATTCACTTTAAAGAAAGGCTAGTAAGGCAGATTTAAATTAGTCTGCAATGTATTATGGGTAGCAGACCTTTTAAATAAATCAGCACCAAGGAGCCTTTAGACTTTGATTCAGTTTGCTTCAACCTTTGATGTTATCTAGCCAGCTTACTGGTTCCTTTTGTGTCTGAATCTGTGGAGTTCAGTTTGCCTTTTTTTGGTCATAAAATTCATTCTAGCTACCTTCCTTCAAGCTAGCCAGCTTTCATTTGCTTAACTAAATTGTGCTACCTAGCCATTTCTTTGGCTGGGAAGAATTGTAGCTGCTAAAATAAGCATTTTATCAATATTAATTATATGTTTCAAATGTTTCTAAATATACATTGATAGCAGAATATTAAATGATATAAGCAAGAAAATGATGTAAACAAGTAATGAAAAATGTATGGTCCAATAAAAGACTAGTGATTAAATTCAAGATTCTACAAGACTTGAATGAGCAAGGCGGATTAGCACTTCCAAACTTTAAATTGTGTTATCATGCTAGCTACTTAAAATGAAATTCAAAATGGATTCTATCTCTTTATGATTTGGTTGTATTTGTGTGGAAAGGCCAGGTCTCTCAGTCTGCATAATATTTCTATAAGAGATTATGCAATAATAATGTATTGAATATCTGGGACAAATACAGAACGCCGATAGGTTGTTCTTGGTGTCACACAGTTCCTTTCCCACTTCATCCTTTGAAGTTCTTGCTGTTTGAAAAAGATGGATGTTTATATGTTATTAAATGTTTATTTTATAATGTAGTAATCAAGAAATTTCTTCAGTGGATCTCTTGACAATATTTCAAGGTTTATTTATTAATATAGTGAAGATAAAATCCTTTGAAACTACTTGATAATGGTTTAGTTTACCATACTGATTACAGAATCTTCAAATACCGTGTTTTCGCGAAAATAAGCCCTAGCATGATTTTTCAGGATGCTCGTAATATAAGCCCTACCCCCCAAATAAGCCCCAGTTAAGATAGCCAGTCAGTTGGACACATTTAGTACTGTTTCCCCCCCCAAAAATAAGACCTAACGGAAAATAATCCCTAATGCATCTTTTGGAGCAAAAATTAATATAAGACCCAGTTTTATTTTCAGGGAAACATGGTATGTAGCATGGTATTAAAGAAAATGGAGAAACAAAGGGAACAATGAGATATTTGATTGAATCTTGTGGTATATAACTTGAAACATTTGCTGGCCTTACTTATATCTGACTAGTGAAATGTGACTCAGAATCTGAATAAGTCACAGATTGTTTCATTCAGTGGATCTGAATTTGAATAATTATAGAGATGCCACCATAGGAATTTCAATGGGAGAACATTAGATTTGCTCTCACTGTCAGAAATCATTGGTATGTTTTATTGGTGTTATATGACCAATTTTGAATGATAAATTAGACAATCATTTTCAAAACATTGCTGCAAATGTAATGAGAAAGTCAGACAACTTTTTCCACTTGGTGGCAGTATTGTAAATCTCAACAATTGTGGAAAATGTCAGCAGACTGTCCTCCTGGTCAGTACTGGCCGTAAGCGG